GGGTAGCGGTTGTACATTGATCATTGTGATCAGTTCCCCCTTTCTCCCCCACCTTCCCCCTACTCTCATGGTATTGCTACTCTCATTATTGATCCTGAGGGATTTGTCTATCCTGGATTCTGTGTGTTGAGAACTCTTATCTGTACCAGTGTACATGCTCTGGTCTAGCCAGATTCGTAAGATAGAACTGGGGTCATGATATGGGAGAGTAGGAATCATTAAAGAACTAGAGGAATATATTATGTGTTTCATTGGTGGTTTACTGCACCCTGGCTGGCTCGTCCCTTCCTTGTGACTCTTCTGTATGGCGATGTCCAATTGTCTACAGATGGGCTTTGGGTCTCTATTCTGACCCCACCTTGTTCACATCAAAATGGTCGTTTACTTTGGGTCTCTGATGGCTGATACCTGATCCTGTCAACACCTCATGATCACATGGATTGGTGTGCTTCTTTCATGTGGGCTTTGTTGCTTCCCAGCTAGATGGCTGCTTGTTTAACTTCAAGCCTTTAAGAGTCCAGACACTATGTCATTTGATAGCCGGACTCCATCAGCTTTCTTCACCACATTAGCTTATGCACCCATTTTGTCTTCAGTGATTGTGTGGGGAAGGTGAGCATCATGGAATGCCAGGTTATGGGAACAAAATGTTCTTGCATTGAGGGAGGATTTGAGTAGAGGCCCAATGTCCATCTGCTACCTTAATACTTAACCTATAAATATATGTACATAGCTCTATATCCCTATAGTTATATATGAATATATTTACATATACATACTTATGTTTATACTTCTCTAAATGTCTATTGCCTCCTAGTTCTTTCTTCTATTTCCTTATACTTTCCTGCCCCACAATCATGTTCAACCTTTATTTGACTCTCTCCTGGCTACATTGCACTTGATCGAACCCCACCAGGCATCCTATGCCCTCCTCGCCATTGATTTTAGATCTGTTGTTCCCTTATTCCTGGTTTGTTTGCTACCCCCTCCTTTTCACCCACCTCCTCCTCTCCCCTGTCCCCGTGGAACCGTAGGTCTAGTTGTTTTCTCCTCGGGATAGTTTATTATCCCTATGTTATATAGATAGACATGAAAAAAAAGAGAGAGGAAAAACAAAACATAGCCTATGAATAGTTTTCTGTCTGCCTGCTGACCCTTATGAATGTTTTCCGACTGGGTCTGATGCAGTGCCAAGCCCAAGTCCGAAGTCTATTTTTGTAATTCCTCAGGGACTTTGGAGCTTTGCTCCCTTTGCTGCTCATTTTCAATCCCTTCATGCTATGCCTGGTGTGTGTGTGCGTGGGCGGGGGTGGTGGGGGCCGGGTGGGGATATTGCGGGGTTGTGGGGTGGGTGTTGACCAGGCACAATTCCCGCACTCTGTCTCCAGTGCTGCTCCACATTGTGAACAGCATCACTTTTGATATTTTTATTTATTATAAATTTCTATGATTTTGCAGCAGTACCTTTTTACTTATCCTTATATGGTGGACCAGTAATTTCTAATAATTCTTTAGGCTTGACTATGTTGATACTAAAAAAATATGTAGAATATGAGTAAGCACTAAAAAGTTCTTCAAAAGTTTCCATTATCTTTTAATTCCTCTTTCAAAGAACTTCTGAAATTCTTTCTTATGATAAGTATAGAACATTTAAAAAGTTTTCTTGTATTCAATATTTTTGGTATCCACAGTTGAATTTTTATCTTTACAGGTTAATGCAGCTGAATCAAAGATAACAAATTTAATATATCTGAAACATACCTTGGAACTTGTAGAGCCTTTAAAGGTAAATGCATGTATGTTGTACAAAATATGTATAGCATTAGTACTTTTTAAAAACAAGCATTTGAAACCTACAGAAAAGTGATAAGAATAGTAAAATAAATCCTCATAATCTTCACTTAGATTCACTAATTGCTAACATTTTGCTACATTTCTCCTTTCTCTCTATTCAGAATACACACATATACCACATATTGTTATCATTATTACTATTACTCAATCAGTTGAGATTAAGTTGCATTACCTAAATGCTAATGTATATATCTCCTAAGAACACGGATTTATTTTGTATAATTATAGTATAATGATCATATTCAGGGTTTAAAACATTGGTCAAATACTGTTACATAAGGTGTAGCCTATGTTAAAATGTTCTAATTTTCCTAATAATATTTTTTAGAACATTTTATTTCATATGATCCAGGTCCCAGTCTAGTACCACACAGTACACTTAATGCCATGTTTCCTTAGATACCATGAAACTGGAAACATTTCTCATCCATTCTTTGTCTTCTCTGATATTGACACTTTAAAAATCAGCATCAGTTGTTTTAAAGGACATTCCTCAATTTGTGTTTGTGGAATTTCTTCCTCATGATTAGATTTGGTATATGTATTTTTGACAGTAATACTCAATGAACAATGTTATATATACTTCTCAGTACATCATATGAAGAGGGACATGAAGTTATTCCTTCATTGTTGGTAATATTAATTTTTTCAGTTTCTTTGCTGTGAAATCACTATATTTTCTTTTGTAATTAATAAATAACTATGGTAAGGCGCCTTAAGACTGTAAAGATTCTATTCCTTGTCAAATTTTCAAGGAACCTTGCTGATGCAATGGTTAAGTGCTCAGCTGCTAACCAAAAGGAGGGTTATTTGAACCCACCCATTGGCACCTTAGGAGAAAGACCAGTTGATGTGCTTTTGTAAATACTAATCAAAACTCCTTGCTGTTGAAAAGATTTTGACTCACTATGACCCTAAAGAACAGAGTAAAACTGTCTCATTGGGTTACCAAGATTGTATTGTGTACTGAAGCACACAATAGGTCTTTCTTCCACGGTGTGGTCAGTGACTTTGAACCAACCAGCTTTTGGTTAGCTACTGAGCACTTAACTCCATCCTATGGGGATACCAATAGAAATATTTCAACAAGTTAATGAAGCACTGGAGGTGCTCATTCATCTATGAGAAAATTGGAAGACAGTTACTTGGTCAACTGATTGGAAGAGATTTGTTTTTTACCCATTCCAAAAAGTGAGTCAGCAGAACACTCAAATTATTTAGCAATATCATTAATATCACATGCAAGTAAATTTTGCTGAAGATCATCCAACAATAGGTACAGCAGTACATTGATGGGGAGCTGCCAGAGGTTCAAGCCGGATTCAGAAGAGGATGTAGAACAAGGGATATCATTACTAATATTAGATGGATCTTCACTGAAAGAAGACAGTATTAGAAAGATGTTTACTTGTGTTTTATTGACCATGCCAAAGCATTAAATTATATGTATCCTAACAAACTATAGATAGCTATGCGAAGAATGGGAATCCCAAAACACTTCACTGTGCTCCTTTGGAACTTGTACATGAATCAAAAGGCAGTTATATGAACAGAACAAGGGAATACTGCATGTTCAACATCAGTAAAGGCATGCATCGTGGTCGTATCCTCTCCCCATACTTATTCAATATGTATGCTGAGCATATAATCAGAGAAGCTGGATTCTATGAAGAAGAATGTGGCATCAGGAATGGAGGCACTCTTATTACAAACTGCGATATGCAGATGATACACACAGAAAGTGAGGTAGAAACAAAGCACTTGCTGATGAAGATCACAGGACTGCAGCCTTCAGTGTAGATTATAACTCAATGTAGAGAAAAACGGCTTCCTTATAACTGGACTGATAAAGTAACATCAAGATAAACAGAGGAAAGATTGAAGTTGTCAAGGAGTTACTCTTGTTTGGACACACAGTCAACGTTCATGGAAGCAGCAGACGAGATCAAAGGACACATTGTATAAGGTAAATCCACTGCACAAGACATCTTTAAAGTGTTGAACTGGAAGAATATTACTTTGAAGACTCAAGGTACACCTTAGAAGCCATGGTCTTTTCAATTACCTCATAAACATGGGAAAGCTGGACATTTAATAAAGAAGACTGAAAAAGATGGATACATTTGAACTGTGGTCTTGATGAAGAATATTTTAAGTATTATGGACTACTAAAAGGACAAACAAATCTGTCTTGGAAAAAGTATGGCCAGAGTACTCCTTAGAGACAAAGATGGCTAGACTTTCTCTCATGTACTTTGGAGATGTTATCTGGAAATACCAGTCCCTGGACAAGGACATCATGCTTGTAAAGTGAAGGGGCAAAGAAAAAGGTCGGCAAGAGATGGATTGACATGGCGGCTGCAACAATGGCCTCAGATATAAAAATAATTGTGAATATGGCACAGGACTGGGCAGTGTTGGGTTCTGTTGTACATATATAGGGCATCTCTGAGTTGGAACCAATCTGATAGTACCTAACAAAAGTAATAACTTGTGATTTCCACATGAAATCCCAATTTTTGCTATGCAAGATAGGATAAATTGCTCTAGTAATGCACAAATTACTATTTTAGTTTATTCTTTGTATAACCTAAATTGTGGAGTTATATCAACCATACTGTAAGCATTTTAAGAACCCATTTCTTTTAATTCCGTACATATTAGCAATTATTTAGAAGGAAAATAAAAATAATAGTGAAATAGTTATTTTCCATGTTCTCTTTATCTGTCATACAGTAAAGAAATTCTTTTTCCTTGACTATACACTAAAACTATTTCTTCTGAGTCCTTAAATGAGAAAATGTAGGCAAAAAGCACGACAAATTATAAAGTATAAACAAGTATAAAATACTATGCTTAGATTGTCATAATTTATTAACCTAGTTATTTTTATTTTATTCTCTAATAGATTGCACTGAAAAACTGTAGTACACCTTTATTAAGAGCTTACTATGGATCCTTGGAAGACAAGCGGTATTTATCACTCAAACATTAATAAAATATTAGCTTATACTTTTCTTTCTGTTAACTGATTTTCAGAATTCAAATTGTTCTTATTCTTTTTTGTTTAATCATTTTATTGGGGCCTTATACAACTCTTATAATAATTTATAAATTATCAAGGGCTCATGAGGGAGGGGGGAGCGGGGAGGGAGGTGAAAAATGAGGACCTAAGGCCGGGGGCTTAAGTGGAGAGGAAATGTTTTGAGAATGATAAGAGCAATGAATGTATAAATGTGCCTTACACAATTGATGTGTGTATGGATTGTGATAAGAGTTGTATGAGCCCCTAATAAAATGATTATAAAAAAAAGAAAATAACTTTAGCTTTGGTTAGTATAAGCTTTAAACTATTCATAAAATTATATTTATATGTTTCATTTTATAATTTATTGGTTAGTTTTTAAATTTAATAAATTTTAATATATTAATTAATGTTGATTAGTTTTGCTAGTGGAAAATTAGGATAATATAGAAAATTGAAATCCATGCACAACTAAAATACTTTTTGAAGTTATTCTCCTGGAAAGATTTGCAAGTATAAAAAGGGATGTCTCTCTCTCTTTATTTATTTATTTATTTGATTTTTTGGATTTTTTAAATTTCTCTCTTTTATCATAAAAGTCTTGGTATAACCAAGAAAATAGTGTTTATGTTTACTAAATATACTCTTAATGTTGAACAGATTTATTACAATACTGTTTGCAGCAATGGCACCATGTTCATGACAAAAAGATTTATGGTACACAAGAACTATTTTATTGATTATGTTAAGCAAAAACATATGGGTAAAAACTATGGTAATTGTAAATTTAGTTTCCTTTCCCCTACAAAGGTCAGGGACCATATATTATTCTTCTTTGAGTCTAAGCACCCACCGTTTTTGAATGGTGCCCACGAAACCAGAATTTTCAAAACAATTCTTCATGAATATATTTTGTTCTTGATGAATCCTTGTATTAGCAGATAAAAAATTTCTTGTGGTAGTCACGTGCTATTTTAGATTAGTACCAACTGACAAAGTGTGTTATTTTCTGCCGCTAACTATGACTCTAAAATTATAAGTAAAAATAGCTGTTTGACTTGCTATCTCTAATGTTCTTTCTTAGGTTTGGAATTATACTTGAAAAGATTAAAACAGTAATTAATGATGATGCAAGATACATGAAAGGCTGCCTGAATATGAGGACTCAGAAGTGCTATGCAGTGAGGTCTAACATAAATGAGTTTCTCGACATAGCTAGAAGAACATATACAGAAATTGTAGATGACATTGCAGGTATTTGATTACCTGAAAACATCTTATTAATAATATATGAGGAGGTTTCTAAATTTACTGGAAAAAAATGAATGAAAAGAAAATGGTACTTTCTGCAAACTTTTGGAAGCCCCTCAAGTATTACCACCTAAGGAAAAATTTTAAATGTCTAAAGATTTATAATGTGTCTATTCTCCAAATGTAACAATAGATTTAACTTTGTAAAAAAGGAGTTATATGAAAAACTAAGGCTCTCAGTAATAAAAAGTTTCAGTGTAGGGATTGTTTCATCTAGAAGAGGTGACAATTTAGTTGATCCAATAATTTCTTCATTGAACTCCGACTAAACATAGACACTGCTCTCAATATTGAGAATATGTAAGTGAACAAGACAAAGTCCCTGTCTTCATGGAAAGTAAGTTACAGTAGGGGAGGTAGACAAAAAGGAAATATTTATAGTATAATTTACATGGATATAAAATATATGAAGAAAAGAGAGCAGGCAGAAGTTCATAGACTGAATGTGAAGCTTATGTACAGCACAGAAGGTTTTAGTGCATGGAGTAGCTTTAGAAAAGGATCCAGCACACTGGAAGTCATGACGTAAACTGGAGCAGAGAGCCACAAGGAATTGTCAAGAATTTGTGAGGAAACCTGGTAGGATGGGATAGAGAATCCCCTATAGAATTGTTGTTAGGTGCCATCAAGTTGGTTTCAGCAACAAAATGAAGCACTGCCTGGTCCTGCACCATCCTCACAGTGGGTCCTCTGCTTCAGCGCATTGTTGCAGCCACAGGGTCACTTCTCCTTGAAGGGCTCCCTCTCTTTGCTGCCAGTCTACTTTAGCAAACATGATGTCCTCCAGGGACTCGTCTCTCCTGGTGCGTCCAAAAGTATATGACAAAGTTTTGCCATCCTTGACTCTCAGGAGCACTCTGGCTGTACTTCTCCCGACACATCAGTTTGTCTTTTTAGTAGTCCATGGTACTTTCAATATTCTTTTCCAGCACAACAATTCAAATGCATTGATTTTTTTCTTTGATCTTTATTCAATGTCCCATTTTCACATGCTTATGAGACATAGGAAAATTCCATGGCTTGGGCCAGGCACACTTTAGTCCTCAAAGTGCCATCCTTGCTTTTCAATACTCTAAAGAGGTCTTGTGCAGCATATTTACCTAATGCAACATGTCCTTTGATTTCTTGATGGCTGCATTCATGAGCATTGATTATGGATCCCAGCAAGACTAAATCCTTGACAACTCCAATCTTTTCTGTTTATCATGATGTTACTCATTGTTCCAGTTGTGAGAATTTTTGTCGTCTTTTTTTTAAATTAAAAGATCATTTTATTGGGGGCTCTTAAAGTTCTTATAATAATTCATACATCAATTGTATCAAGCATAATACATCTGTTGCCATCATTCTTTTCTTTAAAAAAAATCATTTTATTGGGGCTCATGCAACTCTTATCACAATCCATATATCTATCCATTGTATCAAGCACATTTGTAAATTTGTTGCCATCATTGTTCTCAAAACATTTGCTCTCTCATACAACTTTCCTCTAGTTCTTAAATGCTTCCTCCCCCTCTCCCCCACTATCATGATCCCAATTCTACTTTACAAATCCGGCTAGATAAGAGGATGTACACTGGTACAGATAGGAACTGGAAACACAGGGAATCCAGGACAGATGATCCCTTGAGGACCAGTGGTGAGAGTGGCAATACCGAGAAGGTGGAGGGGAAGGTGGGGTAGAAAGGGGGTACCGATTACAAGGCTCTGCATATAACCTCTTCCCTGGGGGATGTACAAGAGAAAAGTGGGTTAAGGGAGACATCAGACAGTGTAAGATATGACAAAATAATAAT